GACTCAGACGGACGGGCATCTAGCAGAATTTGTTAGAAAAGACGGGCGCCTGCTCTGACTGGACCTCGGGGGCCATAGACCACACCGAGGCCCTGGAAGGAGGCGTGACCACGGGGGCGGCATGGAAACCCATTTGAGCGCATCTTGGCTCTGAGCTGTGACACTCTCCGTGCTGTGGGCACCGGGTAGCTGCAGCCCGAGTGCACCGCACAGTGTCAGAGCCCCTGCGGGCGCTGCCCAGCTGGCTGGGTGACACCCACCGACGCCCGCTGCTCTGTCCTCCCAAATTCCCACGCGTGGCACTGGGCTGATCTGTCAGGGATACTCTAGCCGTGGAGGCTGGTAATTAAAGCAATTTCTTGTCCCCCTCAATATAGGAAAAGCTCTAGAATATGTTAAATTGCTCTTACATATGGGCATGAGGACCTTTAGGATTATAATACCGATTGGAAAAGAGTCTGAAAGGCTGAGTTAGGCCACATCTTGGTCATTGTGAAAGTGAACGATGGGCCATGGGTGTTCATTGACTGTCCTCTCTACTGTGTGTTTGAGAAGTTCCAGAATGAGAAGTTTAAGAAAGGAGGAGAAAAAGAAGAGGTACTGTGTTCTTTTGACTCCCGCACCCTGAAGCTGGGACCCAAACTCCATTCTCCAGGGGAAGGGCCCGGCAGGCCGAGGTCACCGCAGACCTCCACGTCGCTGAGACCGAGTGGCTTGTCTCCTGCTGCCCAGCGGACTTCTCCCGAAACTTCTCCTGGCTCTTTGGAGCCAGTCTGTCCTGGGCTTTCCTACTCCCGGCACTCTTTTTTCAGCCTTTCGTTGGGCCTTTGGCCTCAATTAGCCCTTCAAACGCCTTTCCTCCTTGGGGTCCAGACCTTGTTTTGTCTTTCTCATTCTCCAGTCTCCCATCTGCTCCCCTGACCTCAGCTGCCCCCTAGGCCCAGACCACAGGCCTGAGCTCAGGGACCGAGTGTCCACCTGCTTGGTGGGCGCCCCCCACCGCCAAGCACCTCACACTATTGTCCAACCTGGAGCACATCAGCTTCCTTCACCAGATCCTTCCCCCTCCCATCCCCAGTGTGAGGGTACTTCGCTGTCCCAGGAGGGACCTCGGAGTTATTCTGGATTTTCCTTCTCATCTCCCACATCCCTCAGTCCTGCAGCCACCCTTCCGGTACCTCTTACCCGTCTGTCTTCTCCAGGCTGCTCCCGGGGAGGCTAACTCAGCCTTGCCTTTTCCAGCTGTTCGAGGCTGGTGCCTTCCTTGGCTCGTAGCCCTTGCGCCGTTCTTTTACTTATAAGGAAAGCGCCTCCTCCTCTCCCTGGTAACTGTGTTGGGCCCGCCCCAGATAATCCAGGATAACAGCCCCTTCTCAGGATCCTTCCCTTAATCCCGTCTGCAGAGTCCCTTTTGCCATGTAAGGTAACCTATTCACAGATTCTGGGAGTGAGGACAGGAGTATCTTGGGAGGGTCATTATTCTGTCTCCTGCTGCAGCCTTTTTCAGAAATCAGGGGCTGAAAAGCCAAGGTTTTAAAACAACCAGTTAAGAGGTGTTTGGATTTCCGTTCTGAACAAGGATGAGATGAACTCAGCCATATGTTTCATTGCACACAAAGGAAGTTGTCGAACTGTCTGCGCTCCGGGTCAGAGGGAGGTCTCGCAAATCCCCGTGTTTGAGGCCTTCTGCTCTTTTAGGGTGACTTGGGATATGTTTCATGGGAGTAAAACAGGAGAGACATGCAGATCTCCTGACCCCCGCAGTGAGGAGAGGAAGGCACTTGTTTTCTCCTGGGAGGTTAGTTCCGGGCAGATTTCTGCTTCCCTGATCTGTTAGCCTGGTACCTGGGAGGGAACAGGAAAAGACAAAGCTGTTGAAAAAAAAAAGTGTCAGAATCCCCCAAACAGAGCCTGCGGCTGCTGAGCTGCCCTCTTGAGATGTGGATTCCAGATGGTTGCCTTAGGCATTAATCACTTTCTCCTGAGCCAGAAGAACATGAAGATTAATAATTTTTAAAAATTACTGCTAAGGGGTTGCATCTGAAAGAGCAGAGGGCACAGAGCTGAAGTTTGATGGGAGCTGATTATTGATCAGGGCCTGTTTGGTCCTCCGTGATGGTGACCTTGCACTTGCTACACTTGTAAGGCCGACCAGCTGTCACGGAGAGCAGGATGGATCTTGGAAGCTTACATCATAGGATATCAGAGCCAGAAAGGGACCTCGGAAATCATATTCCATCACTTAGAGATGAGGTTTGACTCCATGCCCAGTGTTGTACAGCTCAGTGGAGTCCGGAATGGGACTAGCAGTTGGGTCGCCTGGATCCTGATCCGTTGCCCTCTAGCTGTCCCTGACTCTCTCTGAGTCTCAGAGAGGACAGATGGAGGTAAGATCTCTACGGTAACTACTAAAGGTAGGGCGTAACGAGCTGTAATCCTTTGTGGTGCAGAATACAGATCCTGTCGGCATTCAGACACAAGCAAGGTGCTGGGGGCCGGAGGGCCAGGCAGGCTTTTGAGCTGGGCCGTACAGAGTAGGTAGAGTAGTGAGCTCCAGACGGTACAGGGAGGCCAGGGGTCACCATGCCAGGCAAGGGGAGGTACCGTGAGTGGAGGTGGAGCCCCAGCTTTCTGGAGCAGAGGGGAGAGCTCCTTAATTGGAGTAAGGATGCTGGAGGAGTTGGTGGGACAAATTTTGGGACTCCAGAAATCCAGACAAAGGTCTTTGGACCCCAGTGACCCCAGAACTTCAAAGAGATGTGGCCTCAGGAAATGAGGACTGAACATGGAATTTTGAAGAGGAAGAGTTGTGCGTGTTGAGACACTGCATATATTACTGTAGGAACCATCCAGGAAAGAGAAGTAGCCAGAAGGAGGGGGGCCAAAAACAAGACTGCCTGCCCTTGAGCATGTCTCCAAAAGTGATGCCTTCTCGTCATTTCTTTTTTTTTTTTTTTTTTTTGCGGTACGCGGGCCTCTCACTGTTGTGGCCTCTCCCGTTGCGGAGCACAGGCTCCGGACACGCAGGCTCAGCGGCCATGGCTCACGGGCCCAGCCGCTCCGCGGCACACGGGATCCTCCCGGACCAGGGCACGAACCTGCGTCCCCTGCATCGGCAGGCGGACTCTCAACCACTGCGCCACCAGGGAAGCCCTCGTCGTTTCCTTTTTGAAGCAATAAGCTGTCTCGATGGGGGTTGAGACTAGGATGGAAAGGCCTCAGGAGCACAGTGTGGAAAAGGGCTCTGCCCGTCCCCAAAGTCTGGGCCCAGCTCCTCACGCAGAAACCCGCCCTCAGCCCACTGTCACGGCACCTGTTCACACCTCTGACCACTAGCCAGCTTTCCCGCTGGGAAACGGGGGACGTGCTGCAGATCCCTATGCTTGAGAGAGGGGGCACTCCGTACCAATTATGGCCGGGCCCAGACTGGGTGTTGGGAATGGATAAGGCTCAAATCGTCTTCACGGAGCTTCGAGGTGTTGTGGGGAAGACAGAACTCATGAGCAGATAGATGCCCATGGTACCCAGTGGTGAGTGCTGTGCGTACGGGGAACACAGCAGCACCCGGCAGGGTACTCACCCAGCTTCAGCTGCGTCTTCACCCGAGGCCGGGGCATGGAGACGGTGTGAGCAAAGGCAGGGAGACGAGACCCACCTAGGGTGCCTGAGTGGTGGCAGGGCTGGCGAGGAAGGGGTTGGCTTCAAGACACGGTCAGGAGGTAAAATCGGCTGAACACGGGGGTTGGGTGTGGAGTGCCGGGGCCGGCGGTGGGAGCATCAGGAAGTCCCCCCGGTGCTAGCATGGAGGACACCAACTGCCGTGGAACGTGAGGGCGCAGGGGAAGGTGGAGCAGAGCAGACCCGAGGGCAGGTGTGCACAGGCGGAGGTTCGAGTGCCTGTGGGTAAAGATGCCCCTGGCCTGGAGCCGCTGCGGGATGGCCTGGGGCACAGCAAGGCCACAGGGCAGGCTTTCTGGCCGGGCCTTCACAGTGAACAGTTGCCTCCATTGGATAGACTGCTGTTCCTTCCCAAAGAAGCCAAGTCTGTGTTGGGGAAAAAATCTATCCCAGTCTGTGAGAACACCACCAGCTCTTACCGTAAGAGAAGTAATTAATAAATTCATCCATGGTTATATCTACAGACAGGGATCCTGGCTTAGCAACACGTGCAGAGAAATCACTGTGACCCCTTACCAGATGGGTCAATCTGAGCATCTGTTTTTCATAAATACTCTGATCTTTTAAGCCACTGTCCTCAGTAACAACTGAGAAATTTAGTTGTGTGGTGTTATTCTTTTGAAGCCAGGTCGTGTCACGGGCACAGTATCCTTCTCATCAGTAAAGCAGATGCTGAAATCCAGCCCTAGCGGCACGTTCACCTCGGCGTCTGAGCTGACAGTATACAGGGTGACGCTGCCACCGTCGCCCCAAGCCCTGGAGTAAGAGGTGTGTTTAGCAGAATCAAGTGCCTGTGACCGGACTTCAGTCTGTGGCGTCTCTTTGTGTCCCCGTGACTGTCCATCAACTTACTCCGCAGCTGCGGATCAGATCCGGTCTCTGGGCACACATTTACACATCAGAGCCTGTTGTTTTGCTTCTGCTACACACGACTGTAGCCTCACTCATGCAAATTCATGCTCCTCTCAAGCCTGTCTTCTGTTTTGTGATCATAATGTTTATAACCATGATATTTGCTGTTACTCTAGGCAGAAGGTTCCAGTAAAGTTCGGTTTTCATTAAGCGTTGTTCATGAAGGTTCCAGGAGCTCCACAGGCAGGGTCCGGGGAACACTGTAGTTATTTTACTCAGAAATGAATTCCTAGGATCCATGCAACTGTTCCTCTGTTTGAGGTGGCTGTTGACGTTTGTTTATTTTTTTAACCACCGCGTACTGTGTTTACCTCTGACGTGCTGGCTGCTCACTCAGTTAACATTCATCGCTAGAATGTGTGTTGTGAAGGTTCCTCATTCTAATGTACCGATAAACTTTGTTTGCACAGAGATTTTGCTTATGTAGCAAGAGACAAAGACACAAGAATTTTGAAATGTCATGTATTTCGATGTGACACACCAGCAAAAGCTATTGCCACAAGTCTCCACGAAATCTGTTCCAAGGTAAGGTGGGTCAGGGCACAGGGGTCCGCCCTGCTCCTTTTTCCCCCGCCCACCACTCAGCAGGGAAGGGCGTGTGGAAGGACGGGGGAGTCGGCACATTGACCTGCAGGTCGAGCTGCAGGGGCAGCAGGCCGACCGCCAGCCCAGCCAGCGTGGTTAACGCTCTTTCTGCGTGTCAGGCGTCGTGCTAAATGGTACTCCACCTACAAACCTACAAAAGGAGTACGGCCTTGGTGCCTCCCACAGTCCAGGAGGTCTAATAGGTGGACAGCGGTGTGGCGGAGGAGCTGTGTATCCCGAGCCCAGCTGGAAAGCAGGGGCAGGGAGTCAGGGCAGCTTTCCCAGGGCGGGGGCCACCTGATCTGAGCCTGGACCCGGGAAGAAGGGAGCGGGGTACGAAACCAGCAGGTGTGTCTGTGGAAGTGCAGGCGGCCGGGGGTTGCCGTGAACACGTGCTGACGTCATAAGGCACACAGCAGCGAGGCAGGGCCGTGGTCACAGCCTCAGAGTCGCCGCCTTCCCCCCCCCGCCCCCGCAGAGCCCATGCCTACACGCTCGTCCCGCCCTCTGCCCGGCCCTTGTACTTGTCAGGACACGGCTGTGTGATGCAGCGGCTCTGGCCGCTGCAGAGCCCTTCCTTGTGTGGACCTCCGTGTGTTTACTTGAGATGTGTGGCCTGTAGCAGAGGAGAGAGGTTCCTGGTTTGTCTCTTTGCTGGGCAGCTTTTGCGATTTGGAGGCGGTTGGAGCTGCGCGCTGTGCCTAGAGGGCTGGACACACGTGTCTGTCGTCCAGCCTTCCTGCTCCTGGCTTCCTCCTTTGTCCAGAGTGCCCCACCCCATCGCTTCAGCCACTTCCGGGTCTCGCGGCGACCAGGCTCCTAACCATTTTCTCCTGGCCACGCTCTGCTTGGTTCCCCCGAAGGAACCAGTGTTCCACAAGGGAGTCGACAGGGAACGGACCGTGGCCACAGTGTCCTTTGACCTCCAGGGATACATAGTTAATGTTCTCAGCAATCCCATTACCTGCTGGCCTGTGTTCCAGTAGTGGGAGCCAGGTCTCCAGGACGCTGTCCCCAACTTCCTTCAGCCAGGCCTTTCCACGCCCCAGACTTACTGCTTGAGTCTAAACATAGGACTTTGCCGCCCCCTGTGTTAATGTCACCTTTCCAGTTCCGGGCTGGCATCGTTACCCAGCCTCACTCCCACAGGTCCTCCCGAGCTCGCCAGGCCCAGGTCACGACCACCTCCACAGCCCAGCCTGGCCTCCGCAGCAGGAGCGGAGCAGCTGTAAGCCACAGTTCCCAAGGGAAGGGTAGGGATGGGAGCTGCCCCAGCACCGGAATAGCGCAGCAGTCTGCCGCTCTGACCGAATGACTGGGACCTGCAGGGTGGGTGCTGGTCCGGAGACCCCGCGTCCACCCCAGCCCGTGTGCACGTTCCTGCACGGGTGGCACTGGGGCAGCTGCTTCCTGTGCAGCCCTGAAGCATGCTGTGCTGCCCGGGTTTCGTTTCCTCATTCGTTCACGCAGCAAGTGTAACCGAATGCTGCTTATGTGCCAGGCACTGTCCTGAGGAGACAGCAGAGACCAAAGGAGAAAAAAAATCCTTGCCCTGGTGGAGCTTATATGCTAGCGTAAAGCCCTCAGAACACAACCTGGCCCAGAGTCAGTGCTCAGTGAATCTTGGATTTTACCGTCAGCAGCCCTCCTGCCCGCTGACCCAGGCGCAGATCTGGAGACGGGCAGAGTGGAGCTCCGGGGGAAATGACTTGTTCCACTTGGGATGGAAAGCTCAGGCGGGGGATGAAGGTGTGAGTTGCTCTTGCGGTCATTGAAGGTGGCTTCTTGGAGTCCCTAAACCCACAGCACTGTGAACAGGGGTGCGAAATGATGACTGTCAAGTGAAGATGTTAGTGCCCCCAACAGAGGAGAGGCATTTAGAAAGACGGCCGACAGATTTAAACAGTATGACCATAACACCAACAGCAATAGCAGCTAATATTTCTGAGTGCTTGTATTTACTGTCAGGACTGAAATTATTTTATTATTAGGGACATAAATATTATCATCCACATGTGCAGTGGAGGAAACGAGACAAGAGGGCAGGTGACTGGCTCAAGGCCACTTACCGCTAGTAAGTGGCGGGCGTGGGATTTGAACCCAGGTACTCTGTCCCCAGAGCCCTGAAAAGAGTCCCTGAAAGTGGCCACGTGGAGGCAGCAGGGGGAGTCCGTTGCCCTGTGTTCCACCGACCGCTGTGGGCCGGGAGGTGTACGTGTGACCGGGGGGATCGTGCGGTAGAGGTGGGAGCCTGGTAAATGGAAGAATGAATTCCGAACAATCAGGAGACTGTTAGTTACTCTGAGGAACAGTCGTTCACTATTCTCCCCAGAGAAAATGGGCACAGTTCTCAAAACGTGCGGCTCCGAGATGGGGGTGAGGAGTCAGGCAGCAGACTGAAGCCAGTTTAACTTGGAAGTGAAGTCAGCGCAGACACTCCACTGGCTGGAACAGCTGAGGACACGGGGTCTGTAACCGTGAGCCAAAGCTGTGTTTTCTCTCCTTCAGATCATGGCCGAACGGAAGAACGCCAAAGCCCTGGCCTGCAGCTCCCTGCAGGAAAGGGCCCATGTGAACCTCGACGTGCCCCTGCAAGGTAGGTCGGCGCGCCTGCTCCTCTGCCTGGTGCTCTCTGCCCAGGTCACAAAGCGCAGGGTCTCGGACGGCTCCCTGGTGTATCTAGTCTCCCTCAGAACCGAGCTCGACTCAGCAGACCCGGGCCGAGCCCGCACTCGGGACCTCGGGCGCGGCTTAGAGCTGATTTTGTGTCAACAGGGTTAGGCATCAAGGGCCAGGATGAGTTTTATTGTTGTTGGACAAGATTAAAGAAAAGTATCTTCAGTGCTTTTGTAATTCATGTACAGCCTGGGGTAAGGGTCAGCTAGTTTAAAAATATGTGGGTTGCTATTTTGGGGAGCTCAGTTTAGTCATTTTTCCCGTCTCTGATTTTGCCCTCTGTGATTAAATTTCCTCAGGGCATCAACCTCCCCTAATAAATAGAGCACCCAAAGCTGCTACTTAGCACACATCCAAGAGAGAGTCACAGCTTAACACACAGATTCCAGTTCCTGCTTTCAAATGCTTTCCTACCTAGAAATGAAAGGTGAATGGGATTTTGATTGACAGGCCCAGTGTCTGGTGGAAGAAATGGCTATTCTTATAGCATGATTGGCACACTGACCTCTAGAAACACAGGATGTTATGTGTCTGTTAGAACATTGAGAAAAATGTGTTGCTTTACTCCCTGTAGTAGATTTTCCAACACCAAAGACTGAGCTGGTCCAGGAGTTCCACGTGCAGTACTTGGGCATGCTACCTGTGGACAAACCAGTCGGTATGTGAAACGTGCATCGTCTTTCCACTTTGCAAGCGTTTGGGAGCTCATGAGAGATGTTCACCCTCCCATGGGGGTGGGGTCTGCTGTTGCACTCCTTGCCTTGTCTCGAATCGGACCCTCACACTGTCACCAGCCAGAGCGCACAGACAGTCCTGATCAAAAGATCAGTACAGGACAGGCTAAGCTCCTCAGATGCATGGTCCCAGAATACAGGGACTTGAACAAAGCGGACCTGATTTCTCATTCACTCAGTCCAGAGCTGCGTGAGCCAGGGCTGTGGAAGGGCCCTGCCCCCAGAGATGGAAGCCTCGGTCCTGAACTGAGGCTTCCATCTCTGGGGCCAGGGTGCCTGCTTCAGTCCTTGTCACGTGCTGGACGGGGAAAGGGGGCTGAAGGAACCCTCCTGCTTTCCTGTTAAGGTGTGACCCGAAAGTGCACACAGCAGTCAGCAGTCAGCTCACATCTCAGGGGCAGACTTTAGTTGCTTAGCCATACCAGGCTGGAAGGAGGCTGAGAGAGGTAGCCTTTTCCTGGGTTAAAAAACGGCTGTGGGAAAATCAGAACCCTCACATACTGCTGGGGCGAATGTAAAATGGTGCAGCTGCCCTGGAAAACAGTCTGGCAGTTCCTCAAAAGTTAAATAGAGTTACCATTTGATCCAGCAGTTCTGCTCCTGGGCTTTGTATCCAAGTGAAACGAAAACATGTGTGCACACAAAACCTCGTACACGAATGTTCACAGCAGCATCATTCATAATAGTCAAAAAGCAGAAACAACCCAAATGTCCATCAGCTGACAAATGGATAAATAAAATACACTTCCATACAGTGGTACTTCATTTGGCAATAAAAAGGAATGAAGTATTAGACATGCTGCAACATGGCTGAACCTTGAAAACATGATGCTGAATGAAAGAAGCCAGTCACAAAGGACCGTATCCTGTACGATTCCATTTATATGAGTGGCGTAGGCAGATCTCTAGAGATAGGGCTGGGTGGAAATGGAGGGTGACTTCCGAAAGGTACGGGGTTTCTTTTGGGGGTGATGAAAATGTTCTAAACCTGATGGTGGTGATGGTCGCACACCTCTGAATATACTAAAAACCGTTTGAGTTTTGCACTGTGAGTAAATTGTATGGTATGTGAATTATAGCTCAGTAACGTGGTTCTCCCACCCACCCACCACCAAAAGCAGCTGTGGGAACACCCAGCCAAAGAGCCCCATCGACTAGCACATGCTATTCGTGTCCAGGGGCCGCCCAAACTTGGCCTTATTTAGTGACAAAGGACAATGAAAGGTGATCAGGGTAATCTGGCAGATGCTGGCTTCTGTTGGGTCCCCTTTTTCAAGGTTCCTTGCTTAGGAAAAGGTAGCATTTGAATACTGTTTATACACTCGGAGCTGGGGAATCTTTGTAGAGAGGGAGGGAGGGAGAGTGATGTCCTGGTTAGACAGGACATCACACACTCCTTCTCTGGAGGTTCTCATGACCCTTCTCTCTGTTGAAAAAGCTGGCATTTCTTTTCTTTTGAGCAATGAAAGGCTCAAATGAAATGTCTTGTCTGGGGCTACAAAAAAAAAAAAGACCAGTCTGGGCATAGGTGTTACTGGGTGATTTGGGCCCACGTTTGTGATTCAGAAATAGCTTTAGGACCTTTTTCAGTTATCCCTTCCATCCACAGGAATGGATACCCTGAACAATGCCATAGAAAGTCTTATGACCTCGTCCAGCAAGGAGGACTGGCCTTCAGTGAACATGAATGTGGCCGATGCTACTGTGACTGTCATCAGTGAGAAGGTGAGAAGGGTGGCAGATGGAGTTGGCCAGTGGAACACAGTGAGGTTTCGGATACAATAAGCTTCCGTGAAACTTAGGCGCGTGCCAAGGCTTGGTCTCTGGGGAGTTGTGCTTGCTTGTGATTAAAAGAGCCTACATTAAAAAAAGAGAGACATTTTGCCCTTTGTGCCTAGATCTCTGCACACCTCAGAGGCTTCTATTCTGGCGTTCCTCATTCTTCCTTCCTACGAGGCCTGGGAGGTTGGGATCATTTGCTAGAGGGGACTGTGTGATACTAGCAGTAACTCACTAATAGGGCTTGGTTTTCTGGCCACTCTCCAGGCTCTGGTATTGACTGGGCTGTTATCTGGGCTTGGGACATAGGAGATGCTTCTGTGGTGGAAGGTCCTGTGGTAGCAGGGACCACTGGTCATCTGGAGAGAGGCCAGCATTAGCCTCAACACAAATTATCTCAACTTTGTGGTTGAGGAAACTGAGGCACAGAGAGGTTAAGTAACTGCCCCCCAGGCACACAGCGAGAAGTAGCAGGATCAGTTTTCCATTCTGCCTCTGTGAGGCATCTGTCATGGAAAGACCGTAAGTCCTTGGTCTGCTCTTGCTTCTGTCCACTAGCAGCTCACCTTCAAGTCCAATTCAGTTTCTAAAGAGGAGTAAGATGCTCACTGACCCTGCCTGCCACTCCAGCCTGTGCCGCTGGATTTTCTTCAAGTCTGCAAACATGTGGTGCCTCTTCGTACCTCAGCACCTTTGCAAGTGCGCTGCTCCTTCTGTGCTCTACCCCTTTGCCTTCCCAGCCCCTACGTAGACCTCAATGTAAACGTCATTTCTCCCAGCAAAACTTCCCAGCCTCTAAGACCAGCTTAGTTTGCCTGTTAATCAGTCCCACAGCACCTGAGTGAATATTCAATAAGTCAAGATGTTAGTGAGCCAGAAGTCAGCATTTTTCTGGATGTATTTACTAATTTTCAAAAATTGCACATGGCTGCTGCAGAGGATGTGGTGTTCATAAGAATTCCAAACACTTCTTAACTCGGCACCATATGGGTACCAGTTTGTGAAAAAGAAATAAAAAAGTATTTGGCAACTTTTTGTTTTACACAGTTTTAGATAGAAATCTGATTCAATGTGCTGTTTAGTTGGGGAAGAAGACCTGTATGGAAAGAGAGCCCATGGCTCCTTTCCTCTTGGTGCTCTGGGGTTTCCAGTGGGTTTGCCTGGGCAAATGGGTTCTGAGCCACTGTATGGGCAATATGGAAAAAGTATACATGACATTGTTCCTGCCCACAGTGAAGCCACGGGCTTGGAGTCGAGCAGACAGAGTCCGGAACACACATACCCAGTCGCAGTGTGGTTCAGAGCAGATTAAATGCCGGAACGAGGCACCCACAGCAGTGAGGCCTCTCCAGACACATTTAGAAACTTGCCTTTCTAGAAAAATACAGTCCTGTCTAAATTCAGTCTGGCTGTATATTTTTAGACACCATTTCCTCTGTGCAGCCACTCCAGGCGGATTCTATGACTTAAGGTCCGAACGTGTCTGTGACTTTGGCCAGAGCTGCTGAACGGCGTCTCTTGCAGAATGAAGAGGAGATCCTGGTGGAGTGTCGGGTGCGATTCCTGTCCTTCATGGGCGTCGGGAAGGATGTGCATACGTTTGCCTTCATCATGGACACTGGGAACCAGCACTTTGAGTGCCATGTTTTCTGGTGCGAGCCTAATGCCGGTAACGTGTCCGAGGCAGTGCAGGCTGCCTGCATGGTGAGTGAGCCCGCTGCAGGGGTTCAACCCTCGGGCCCCTGCTTTTGTTTAATATGCCGTAAATTAGAGCAGAGTTACTGCCTTAAAAGAAGCCAAGTCTGATCTCTAAAGTAATGCCTTGCTGTGTGACACCTTCACTCCTGCGGACAGAATCGTGACAAGCACTTTGCCGTCTTAAGAGGCCAGGACACCTGAAAGGAGGAGGACTGGATGGAACCAGGTTCTTCTGTAGAGACTCCAGGAACACTGAAAGCAATGATCTTCAAAACCATGGATTTGAGGCCTCTTAGTTCTTGATCCCTAAGTAATTTCAGTATGTGATCAGGAGATGCTGGTCATGTGTGAGTTGGTGCTGTTTGGAACCAACTCAATAATTCTTTAAAAATTCAGTGTATTGAATGGTTTTTATTTCTAGATAGTTGGTCTAAGTGCATTGTTCTTACATACTTTGTTTATATCTATGAACTCTATTCTTACCACGGCCCTGTTAAGTAGTTCTCTTTTATTTATAACAAAATAGAGGCTCAGAGGAAAGGACAGGCCCCAGGGCAGAGCTGGTAAATGACAGAGCCTGCGTTCACCCCCGAGCCTCCGGGTAATAAAGCCAGTGCTCTTTGTACCACATATGTGACTTCAAACAAACAGAAACACCTTGTCATTCATTCTGCAAATATCCTTTGAGCTCCTGTCATTCCCAGCACTGGGAAAGTTCTAGTAAGAAGGAGACATCCAAGCCTGGGCTGCATGGTGTATTCCAGCAACAGGAGGTAGGGTTGCTGGAGCCAAGTGGAAGGAGGCGAGGTCCATGTCCACGAAGGGCCTGTGATCTCATGCCAAGGTGTGACCTTCAGCAGAGATTGTTAAGCAGGAGAGTGTGTAGACCACGTTAGGCTTTAAAGCATACTCCAAAAAAGAGAGAAGAAAACAAAGTGGAGGTGGGTTGAAAGGATGGGGCAGAGGTGGGGAGATGACCAGGAGGCCAGTTTACTGGTCCTTGGGAGAGTTGCATCTAAACCAGGAGTGGCAGTGGGGAAAAGACAGGAGCAGGTGATGGAGAAACACCTGGCTGGCAATGAGGAATGCTGAATTCGAAGCACCTGCACTTCATTTAACTCAATCCACCATTTGTAGGCTGGACTCTGGGAAGTTCAAGTAGGAATAAGACACGATCTTTGCATTACGGAGTTTAGGCCTATGGGGGAGACGGGTAAACCAGAATTCTGTTATGGTGTAGAAAGTGCTCTAAGTGAAAGTGTAAGACTGCACTGGATGGAGGAGTGACCGGGAGGAAGAAGGTGGCCCTGAAAGCGGGTCGCTCACCAGGTCTGTGGTGAAGGAGTAGCCGGAAGCATGCCGTTGAGATACTTGCTCGTTTGTTGGGGGGTTGGGGAGATCCTCACAGTTTTGAGGCTGAGGGAGATGAGCCAGTAAAGCCAGATTGAAATAGGGGTCATATTTGTAGTTGGACCAAGGTCTTGGTGGTAGATGAAGGGCCTGGGGTTGGGTTAGAGTGCTGCTTGGGTTAGAGTAACTTTGAGACCGGCCAGAAGATGCCCGGAGTCCAGGAACAGGTGGAGCTGAGGGCGGTGGAGGGCATCCTCTGTTTCTTTACAGACAGTACACTGCTAGTTAACAAAGAGGGGAAAGAACGAGGTGGACGGATGGCAGAGGCAAAGGTCGGGGACGAGAAGAGAGCCAATTCGCTTTTATTTTAAAAGACACCTTTGAAACAGAGAGGGGAGGAGCAGGGGGGGAGGGGAAGGGAAGACCTGTGTTGTGCACTTATTATCTGGCTTCGTTCTCGCCACAGTCCTGTGTTAGAGTGCAGGTTCCCCTCAGGTGCTGCGGGGCCAGGATTCTAACTCAAGTCCACCTGCATATAAAGGACCGGGGCTGGGTGGAGGGGAGCAGCGCGGTGAAGCAGTCAAGATGAACCTCCTGACCAGGCGTAGGGATTTGAGATGGGATGAAGGGACTGTGTGAAGAAAACAGAAAATGGGAGAGTCCAGCCAAGCAAAAATCCATGGTGACTGTTGAGGTATTTTGTGAAATTGTAAAGGATCATTAACAGATGGTTTTAGTCATAAAATGAATGGCTTTCAGCCTTAATTATACATTTTAAATGCTGATGGCAATTAAATAATTAGCTTTATCACTGGTTACAGTTTGTTCTGATTCCCAGGCTCATTTTCTCTCCTCTAGAAACAATTTCTACTCATTTGTTTACTATTTTAATTGTATTAGGGCCACCAGCTTAAGTGACTCAGCCAATCCAGCATAAGACATACCGGTAAAATCAAACCTTTCTTTACACTCTGTATCCAGCATTTCTAACTGGGTGGCCTTCCTCTTGATTCAAATCTGCATGATTCTCCATCTGAAATGTTTATGCATCAGTTTATACAATCTGAAATATCTCTGGCATTAACACATTCTGAATCTACTGAATTCTTAGGCATATTTTGCAGCTGAGTGGTATAGGCCCAGCTGAAACTATTTTGATGAAATTTAGAGGGAGATGGAGAGGGGTCCGCTTAATGAAATTCATCAGGCACAATTCTGATTTGCACTGGATATAACGTAACTAACATCAGAAACTCCGAGTCCAGTATACCATGCTGCGGTACCTGCCCATTATAAAACTGTGTTTGGAAGTGCATAGTTTTGATTGTGATGCAGACCTAGAAACATACTTTACACACAGGAGACGTGATAAATCGTTTTTCATATGATTGGGTTGAAAGGGGCTAATTTTTTGGCCTGTGGGCTGTGACAGCACATTGTGATAAGAGTCTTGCTGTACGACAGTTCATGCTTTTCACAGGGAAACATCAGCCTGTTTCACAGTTGTTCCAAGGAACCTATTAATATTTAAGTAGGTTTTTGAAAATCAGTTTAAGTGCTTGGATTTTTTAAGTGCTTGGATTAGAAAAAAAGCATTTGATACATTTTAACCTTTTAATCTAATTTTGAAGAATTACTTATCTTTGCATTGATACAAAAGCAGGTGGATTGTGACTTTGTTTCTGAAGGATGGAAACTGTCCCTGGTGCCAGTGCTAATGGATTTTTAAAAATTAAATCTATTAAGATTTAGACTTGTATATAAAATCCTGAAATCTTAGTAATTTTTTTTAAATTAAAGCAGGATGGGAACAAACATTTATGAATGCCTTCTGTGTTGCTAGGCCTGTCTGAGGCATTCTGCAGGTATTCCTTAATCATAACACTGTCTTTTAAGGTCGCCATTCTTCAGCCATTTTACAAATGAAGAAACTGAGGCTCAGAGAGATTTAATAACTTGCCTGGGGCCATACGGTTCACAAGTGGTAGAGCCAGATTCAAACCCTGCCCTTTCTACCATGCTGACCCTCACTCGGCTAGCCATAAACACCTACTTCATTACCTGTCTGAGGAAAAAGTTAATAATCTCTCTCCCAATCCTTTTTCTCTTCATTAGCTCTTTGACTATGAGGTATATTCATCGCAGCCTAACAATATAAAGAACTTCAAAAGAATTTAAAACACTCCACATTAAGGAAAAAAAATAATAAACTCTTGGATTCGTGTTTAGGAGCTAGGTCGTTAACCTTTGGGAGTTAAATATATTTATGAATTAAGATCATGTTAAACAAGAAGGGATGATACATTATTAACGACCATACAACTTTCTAATTTCAGTTACGATACCAGAAGTGCCTGGTAGCCAGGCCGCCTTCACAGAAAGTTCGACCACCTCCTCCGCCAGCAGACTCTGTGACCAGGAGAGTCACAACCAATGTAAAACGAGGGGTCTTATCCCTCATTGACACTTTGAAACAGAAACGCCCTGTCACAGAAACGCCGTAGCTGCATATGTGAAAGGATCCTGTAACATTTACTGAAGATTGAATAGCTACACTAAAGAAGAGGAGCTGATCTCTGGCCTTCCATTCAGTTGCTGATGCTTTGTCTTCAGAGATTAATAACTTAACCAAACAGTGTTAGACAAGCATGTTCTCTCGTCTTGCCACCGTCGTGTGATATGAAAAGCATGACTAATTTTTTTTGCTGTCAGTAAGTTACATCATGAGCAGTGGAAGCTCCCTTTCTTACTGTAAATATCGTGAACATTATGTAACTTCACACACACAGGGAAGAATGTGGCCACACCCCTCCCAGTGAAGCAGCTGAGTCCTTGGAGTGAATGACACCTGGGTTAGTTTCACTGTCTTCTTGACTGGATCTGTCACAAGCAACTTTTAAGTCCTACAGCACTTTGCCCTGTTTTCAACATTGGAGTAGACACTGCATACTGGATACCACTGAATTGCTGTAAAAACAGGATGACTAGTTTTCGTTTTAGTTCTTCATAAAATCGAACCTTTGGTTGACAAAATTGGCTGTTGGCATCAGTATAGAAACCAACTGGCAACTTTCCTTGACGAGCTCTTTGACACATGGACACCATTTCATGTCTACAGCTGTTTGGGGGATGTTGGGAAAAAAGTGAAGCTTCAAAATTGAAAAACTAAATTTCAGAAATTAAAACAGAACAAAAATAGCCTTTCTGTTCAGATGGTTTTCAAACTGATTATTAAGAAAGAGATTAACAAAATTATAATGCATTTTGGGTGGGAAATATTTCAAACTTCTGCCTTATACTGTACAATGCAGCTAGAGAATTATAGTTCACTATGGCCATTCTCTACATAAACATTAAAATGAAATATTCCTCATAAGCCTTTCATCCTTAGTTTGATAATTAGCCAATATGCAACTTGGAGTTGAGGAAATGTCATTTATATTTTAGATCTCCACCACCACGTTGTTTTCCACCTCCTAGGTAAATGTTCTGCTAGGATTCTGCATCTAGCTCAATCTTACCTTAATGCTTTTTGCCCAGAAAGCTGTCTGTCCATCATGTATTGTCCATGGCAACAAACTTCATAAAATTGAACCTTTCTGAATTTATGTATTTAATATTAAAATTTGTTGGACTCTAGATATATTTTTAAATTTATATTTTTTCCATTTATGTTCAAGATTTAAAAATTCCATATCAGAGCAAAATATACATAGGAACAAAGGACTATTTAACAGGCTTCCCAAAAAACAGCACTTTCCTGCTTCTCTATCTATAGATGAGAGACTTAGCTGTAAACAGATTGAGACACTTGATAATGTTTTAAAGAAGTTGCTAAGAAGCTCAATCTAGACATTAGTTTTGTTTACTTTTCAGTGATAAAATTACCATTTTACAACATCGTTGTAAAAGTAATGCTTTATGTTTATCTACTGCTATGTACTTGTCAAAATGGTTTCCACATTCTTATCGTCACATTTGAGCCTTATAGAGAAGGTACTAAACACATTTGAGAAATAAAAAATATGAATTAAAGAGGCTCAGTCACCTAGCCTAAGATCTCACGAAAGTTAGTGAGAAAGCCAGAACTAGGACCCATGCTTCTCAACTCCCAGTTATTAAGTTATGCTGCTTCCACACCAGTCAGGAGGAGTCTTTCCAAAATTACTTTGGGCATATCCAGTTATTATCAGGCAATCTTAGGATTCCCTGTATAAGTAGGGAAGTATGTCCAAATTACTCATGCCGTGATTTAAAACCATTACCTGCTCTCAGTTTTCCTGCAGTGTGCCTCAAATGTGTTGTAGAGGACAGGATTCTACATGCAGTCCAGAGATAATGTTACATGTGGTAGAAATATTCCTAACTCATGATACTTAGCCACCAGAGAACATGATGGAATGAGTAGGTGGCCTCCTGCCTCTGTTCCCTCTCAGAATTCTGGAATTGCTTGCTAGCACCCTAGAGATGCCACTCTAGAAGTGGATTATACTCTCACCAGCCTGTACACTATTCTACTAAAGTTACCAGTGACATCCTAAGAAATTACTGCATTAAGAAAATCCTTACTGTGCCCTTCGAAAAGCTGTTCAAAATTCAATCTTGATGATCTTTCATCGTGACCTCCACAGTGAAACAAACATTTTAGTGTGATAACTTCAAAATTCTTAAAAAAGTGATCCACTTTTATATTGGACATCTCTACCAGAACCCATTCATTTTTTTTTAAGGCATACATATGTTTTCAGGATCAAGAATACTGAGCTAGCTTTAAGTAGCAAACTGATTTATATATGCAATTATGGATGCATTAAGATGAATGATAGCCTTTACATACTGAAAACTTTACTGCAGATACTTTGTTTTAAAAATAGCTTTGCATACTAAATGCAATTAATTTTATAAAATTAATTATGTTAAGCCGTATGTTCAGACACTTTCTGCCATGGCCAAAAAGTATGTATGAAAGTATGTGTGTATTTTCTGTGAAAGGATGCTAGCGTTTTACCTGATATTGTAGTGACACTTCAGTTATCTATGCATTCTTTGTATCTGTGATTTGGTAAACAGGCAGCCATGTTCACTATGCCTTGTATGTCTTATCATTTTTTTAATTAACCTGTTAAATACAGCTTAAAATATTTTTATTTTATTTATTCTATTTTTACTGAAATATACTGCATTATTGTGTTAATGTATTATCTTTACTGGATATCATCTCTCAATGTATCCAGGTCTAAGTAATCTCAGTGAACTATACATTGCCTAAAAGGTGGTTTTGTAATGATTTGTAGTCACATTTTTATTGGAATATGTATAAGAAAAGGCAAAATACTTAAAAGTTCCTTTTATTTTTTAAAAGCAGCTAGACAGACGCATACTTGCCAACTCACATATGTGCTCCTTGGCCGCATCAAGGGGAATAGCCAACATGCCTATGGCTAAAAACTTTACTTTGCAAACTTAAAGCACTGCTTGGTGCTTCGTTTTTATATCCTTCACAACACTTGTGAGCTCATCTAAGAGACAGACACATGTCCTCCTGCCCTTTGTTTACACCTGGATATATGATCACCCATAGCTAATTAGGACCATTGTTTTTGTTTGTGTCTGTCTTACTGCATGAAGCGACATTAGGCCCATTTCCATTAAAATAAGCTCTTGGTGATAAACTGTTGGCACTGCTACTTTTTAAAAAATTCCACTTTATGATTTTATGACGAACATTTGTACAATTCTACATAAGGTCATTTACTAGAAGCCCTAAATCTTTCCTCCTCTTCTTATATGACACACACTCATTTCATAAGCATTGCAACAGAAACTCAAGATTTCGTAAACAATGTGAGAAACATTTCCCTAACTGATATTAGCACAGCTTAACTAGTAAAAGCATTAGCTCTCTAGTTTGCCAGGCTCACTTAACCCAATACACAGCTAACGTGTGTTATACAGCCAGTAAAATGAAGTTTATTTCAGCTTCAGGGAAAAGATACTGCTCACACTTTATCAGTGAGAGCACTCCCTGCCATCCAAAGCAGCTTGTTTATCCCAAAAGAACATTTGGTTTTGCGTTCTGCCCCTTTTGCTGTTGACCACTTTTACACATTTAAATGTAATATGTTATGAGAATAAACTTAGCTGCGTAAAATGTTTGGCTCATTTATCTGACATCAGTCATACATATCCAGGAATAGAAATAAAAGTTTAGTGTCTCCACGCCAGTCATTCTATTTTCAGATTATTCTTATCTCAAATTAAAAGTCATTTTAGTAATGTAAGATTCTGCTTTGATTATTGTATATTTCCACCTGGTAAGAACTAGGAAGTAACTTTAAATTTTGAATAATTCATTGCATGGTCCTTACCTTGGTACTCAGGAAGGACAGCAGGCATTTTGGACATAGAGGCCTATTCAGTCACCAACTTGATGCTTGTGTAAGCACTCTTTCTAGTGTTAAAAAAGTCCATCTTTCCTTGAAGAGCCTGATATCAAAGAATGAAAGATAGAGTTGTACAGGCACTAAATCCAAAATGAAAGGTGACTAGAAAAACAGCAGTTGAACCTGGCTTAGTTTAACTGTTAGACATATGGAAGAAGATAAATAGAATTTAAAGTGTGTACCCATTTTTTGTTCATCTTGCATTTCCCCCAGTAGTTTACCTTTTTCCTCAATCAAAGGCAGTTACTCTCAAAGAGCAAAATTTCATTTGGTTTCAGGTATTACATAGTGGTAAATAATTACACATTAAAACTCTGCATTTGCTACTGGAGTATCTAAAACCAGTGATTTCATTACTTTAGATTTTTGCAGCACTCTTCTCTAAGAAGCTGAAAAAAGAAAAATGTCAATGTAATCAATATTCTCCTTTACTAGAATTCTCCCATATTGGTTTTAATCCAAAGTATTTCCCTTTTTAGTCTACCAAAATATGTAAATAATTGATCACATCCTTCTTAGAAGATTCCAAAGAAGAAAACTGCAGGCTTAATGAATGAATGGTTTAATTCAGAATCTCCATATACTTAGAAAAATAATTTATGACAGGATTCATGTTATGAGATACTGAAGATAAGGGGCTAAAGTTGTGATGTGACATGAACCACATGCTGCTACAGAGATCAGAAAAATATCCTGAACTATTTCATAACTGTGAGTTTTCGTCTTATAATAACTATTAGCAGAAAATAAAAATCTCAGACCTGCTACTTTTGGACAATGGAATACTCTTCAGCCTGGGGCAGAGGAAAGATGTAAGGAAAGGGATAAAAGATCCCTGGGGTAAAATATCAGCTCTTTACTGAACAGGTTCAGTTCACCTGCACTGGCCTCCCAGAGGCACGGAAGGCTCTAAGCCAGAGAGTGGGAATAGGAGGAAACCATACTATAACTTTCAGAGCAAATGTTATATAGTTTTTGATTTTTGAAAGTAGTAAAATAAGCTGAGCATTTAAAACATTTCTGTATTTTTTAAGAGTCATAATTAACAGAATTCTTTTGGGATTTAAAAATAAGTCAGGTTCAAGTATAAAAAGTCATGTTTCATTTCTTCACTGACATTTTACTAGTAAGTGTAAATCTTCAGTTAAAAAAATTTATTACTGCTACAATGAAATTCACCCTTTTCTACCCTCACTTCAAGTGAGAAAATTATACAATATTAGAGCTGAAATAGACCTAAATATTCATCTTGAAGAGGATAATAGTCTACTAAAATCATGCCACCTGAATTGAAATTTAGGAATTTATTTAACACTATTCAACACAACTGGATTCTGAAAACACAACTTTAAATTCAAACTCTTTGTGTCTATGAACATGTTTTTAAACAGTAGGATTTACAGTTGTAACATATTTGATTTAATGTCACTTTCTGTTGCCATGATGAAAAAAAATCAGTAGACCCAGAAATGATAATCATAACCAGTTCTTGGAAGGCAATTGATAATACAGTCAAGATGAACTGACTTTCAATATAATTAAAATAGTGCTACGATATATTTTAATTGAGCATCAGAAATGACTTACCAAAGTTTGATTACTGTGTGCCACTTGAAATGACCATCTCACCTGATCTTTGAATCATGAACTTGTATAGATTTCTTCAACAATTGGGGTGTCACTTGTATTCAGCAGTTTGGCCTCTTCCTCAGAATTACTATTTAGATGGAAATTTGCTTACAGTCACTTTTTTTACAACAGTATTTGGCATAAATAGTTAAAAGGGAAAGCTTATGTTCAGTCTGCTCAGGATCCTAGAGGTTCTTCCAGTGAGAAACAGTTTTCACTCTGTGAATGGACAGCTGAACTACTCACACCTAGAACTTTGGACCTTCCTGTTCTTCCTATTCATACTCAACTTCAATCACATTACAAAAGCTCCTAACATCTCCTATTTTAATGTTTAAGGAAAAAAAAATCAACCTCTATAGTGATTGAAAATTTTAAACTACAGCTGACTCGATACTGAAAAGCAATCTATAGTCCGTGCAAGAGCATCTTTTCAAAACCTATGCTTTCTAAATAAACTGCCTCACAATTTAACTTTGAAAAGAAGTCTGTTCTAAGGCACACAGTGTTTCCCTTCAGGAAAAATTGTTGCAGCTTTAAAACCAGTGTCCTAAGTCCAGACAGAAAGTTAACAAGAGTGAGACAAGTTCTAACAGCCGATACTGAGTCTACAACTGAACGTTCTAAAACAGATCAGCACCCAGCTACTGAACTCTCTGCTTTGCTTAACTCACCTACATTATTCTCACTTGTCTTAATTCACTTGAAGGTAATAATCACATTTAGAAGATACTAAGTGACCAAAAGGATGAGTATTTTGTGTAGGGATGTCTAACTTTCAGAGAAATATCAGACTTTGGGAAAAAACCCTACTACTCTTGACCCCTGTAAAAAACACAAGACAGTCAAAGCCATGGTCGAGGATGCCTGGGTAGAGAGGAAGGTAAGTTTTCTTGTTTTTTCCCTCTACTTGGTATTGATGGTGTGGGAAGATAGCCAGGCATGACAGTCTTGGGCCCAGCGCAAGGACAGTAAAAATGTTGAGTTGGTATCTGAGATCCGATCCCTTGGGGACTAGAAAATGGCAACATTACTGGAGGCAAAACAATCTCTATGGGTTTCAGTGCAATCATTCTGTCTTCTGGGCGAGGTCTTACAAAGTTTGTCGTCCGTTCATATGGTCTGGAGGGAGGTGTGTTCTTCATAAATGTAGGCACTAAAGGATTGGTGGTGGGCTTGTTGGATTTTCTGACCTGTGAGAAAGAACCCACTTGATTTGTATTCTTCTGTGGAAGAGATATTTTTGTTGTTAACGTCCCTGACAGATGAGCACTTGCGTTAGTTTCTTGACTCAGGAACTCAGCAATTTTCATCTGGATGCCCCTACTATCAGAAGTGGAAGATTTTGGCAATGACATTTTTGACTTTTTCTTCTTCTTCTCACGTTTTGAAGGTTTACCCAACTCGATCCCATCCAGTAGACCCTTTGCTGCAGCACGGGCCAAAACATCTTTCACAGACACTGTCTCAGATGGGTCCCGCTATAATTAAATGTGGGAGTTAATTGTTACTTTGCATATTACAAATACTTATCAGTGTTTCAGTAAAGATAAAAGAATATCTTTGTTATACTAAAAGAAATAGTTTTTAGACCTTAGTCTCTAATATATCCTATAAGCCTCAGGAAACTACTTTCTTTGTACTTAAATCTCCCCATTTGTGAACCTGATAGAAAAAAAAAAAGAAAAAGAATTACAGAGCTTATTCTTTTTTGAATTTTTAAATTTAATTAATTTTTTTATACAGCAGGTTATTAGTTATCTATTTTATACATATTAGTGTATATATGTCCAGAGCTTATCTCATATCTGTGAGCTAAAATGAACTGGATATTGACAAAGTGCTTGGAGAAGTGGGGGTGGAGAACAGGCAACCGAAAAACACTCAGGAGGACAATAAAGATAAAAATAGGGATTTCCGCCATACAATAATAATTGTTTTTCCTGCCCTTTGGCTATTTATGAAATAAGCATACTATTATGAAATGCTCATAAAGTTCCTATATTCCTATTATGAGACTTTGTTGTTTCTTAATTCCTAAGTATGAAATGGATTGGGATTTTTTTTATCCTTACCTCCCTTGTTAGAACCGAAAGAAAACAACCATTGGTAATTTCAGATGGTTCCATTCTGAAAAATTTGTCAGTGGACAAATGTATTTCCTTTAAGGAGCAGAGTGGAAGGACAGGGGGACTAAGCCTGCAATAGGTAACAGCAAACAATTAACAGTTAGAATGTCTTATTTGCCAATGGAGGGAGACAGTAAATTGCAACCAATTTTCTTTTATTATGTTTTACCCATTATTTAAACAAAAATTCCAAATAAGAATAAAATGTCAAGGGGAGGGATCAAGATGGTGGAGTAGTAGGATGTGGAGCTAACCTCCTCCCACAAATACATCAAAGATACATCTACAGGGCTTCCCTGGTGGCGCAGTGGTTGAGAATCTGCCTGCCAATGCAGGGGACACGGATTCAAGCCCTGGTCTGGGAGGATCCCACATGCCGCAGAGCAACTGGGCCCGTGAGCCACAACTACTGAGCCTGTGCATCTGGAGCCTGTGCTCCGACAAGAGAGGCCGCGACAGTGAGAGGCCCGTGCACCGTGATGAAGAGTGGCCCCCACTCGCCACAACTAGAGAAAGCCCTTGCACAGAAACGAAGACCCAACACAGCCATAAATAAATAAATAAATTTATTTTTTTAAAAAAATACATCTACATGTGGAACGATTCTCAGAACACCTACTGAACCCTGGCAGAAGACCTCAGACTTCTGAGAGGGCAATAAAATCTCCACATAATCAGGTAGGACAAAAGAAAAAAGAAAAAAAGGGAGAAAGGAATCAGGACAGGACCCTGCGCCCCTGGGAGGTAACTGTGAAAGAGGAAAGGTTCCGGCACCCTGTGAAGTCCCCTCACCAATGGGGAGATCAGCTGGGACGGAGGGGGAGCTTTGGAGCCTCAGAAGAGAGCACAGAACTGGTGTGCAGCAGGCAGAATGGAAAGAGACCTGCACAGACAGTCAGTATCACAGCGTTGCACTCCCCAGCCTGAGACGTGCATCCACGAGTGTGGGCGGGGGCTGGGAGCTGAAGCTTGGGCTATGGAGGTCAGACCTGGGGTGAAGACTGGGGTTGGCTGTGGGGAAACAGCCTGAAGGGGCTGGATTTGGGTATGACTGAAACCAAGGGTGTACACAGAGGAAGCCCAGGCCCACCAGAGAGGTAAGGTGCCACTGTTGAGGGCACGCGAGGGGAGGGGCGGGACCTGCCACAGCAGCCCCCTTCCCTGCACATGCACTCTAAGGTGACAGGACACTGCCTGCACGAGCTCCAGGAGCAGGCACCAACCACTGCTGTGGGCTCAGGAGTGGGCATGAGCCACCAATGCCATCGCAGCCTCCAGGGGCACGAGTGAGCCACCACCACACCGAGAGCTCTGGGAGCGGGTGCCAGCTGCCACCTTTGCGGGCTCTGGGAGAGAACGCCAGCCACTGCCTCTGCACACCCCCTATCAGTGGGATAACAGCCAGCACACACTGAGGAAAGAGACAGCAGGCATCCATACTAAAAACAACGCTTACACCAAAAATATTAAAACCACACAAGCTACACAGGGCTGCTCCTACATATAAACAGCCCTCCAAGACCACAGTAGATAAGTGTTTCTCCTAAACTCACAGAGTAAGGGAAATATAAGTAAAACAAAGAAGCAGAGGGACCACTCCCAGTTAAAAGACCAAGAGAATTTCCCTGAAAGAACAAACAATGAAATAGACCTCTTCAGTCTAACAGACGCTGAGTTCAAAAAGGAGATAATGAAAATACTGAAGGAATTAAGAAAGTTTATCAACAGAAATGCAGAATACTGTAAAAAAGAGCTAGAAACTATAAAGAGGAGCCAAGAAAAATTAAAAACTCATTTGCTGAGATGAAAGCTGAGCTAAAGGCAATGAACTGCAGAATGAATAATGCAGAAGAACAAATAAGTCATCTGGAAGATAGAATAATGAAAATCACCCAATCAGAACAGCAGATAAAAAGGCAAATTAAGGGCTTCCCTGGTGGTGCAGTGGTTGAGAGTCCACCTGCCGATGCAGCGGACACAGGGTTCGTGCCCCGGCCCGGGAGGATCCCACATGCCGCGGAGCGGCTGGGCCCGCGAGCCATGGCCGCTGAGCCTGCGCGTCCGGAGCCTGTGCTCCGCAACGGGAGAGGCCACAACAGTGAGAGGCCCATGTACTGCAAAAAAAAAAAAAAGAAAAAGAAAAAAAAAGAAAGGCAAATTTAAAAAAAAAATGAAAGCAATATAAGACATGTATGGGATAATATAAAGCTTGCCAATCTACCCATAATAGGGATTCCAGAGGAGAAGACAGAGAAAAAGGGATCGAAAATGAATTTGAAGAAATTATGTCTGAAAAATTCTCAAACCTAAAGAAGGAAACATAAATCCAGATACAGGAAGGAGAGTCCCAAACAAGATGAACCCAAACAGACCTACACCAAGACATATTGTAATTAAAATGGCGAAAGTTAAAGAGAGGATTCTGAAGGCAGCAAGAGAAAAACAAAGTCTTAGTTACAAGGGAACCCCCATAAGGCTATCAGCTGATTTCTCTACAGAAATGTTACAGTACAGAAGGGAGTGGCAAGATATATTCAAATTCCTAAAAGGGAAAAATGTGCAACCTAGAATACTATACCCAGCAAGATTATCATTTAGAATAGAAGGAGAGACAAAGAATTTCTCAGATAAGCAAAAACTAAAAATACAGCAATACTAAACCTATCCTAAAAGAAGTATTGAAAGGTCTTCTCTAAATAGAAGAGAAGCAAGAATGTATAGAAAAGAGAAAATCACAATTGGAAAGGACTAGGACTTCCAATACTATGTTGAGTAGAAGTGGTGAGAGTGGGCATCCTTGTCTTGTTCCAGATTTTAGTAGGAATGCTTTCAGTGCTTCCTGCTAAATGGCATCGGTGCCACTTATGGCATCGGTGGCTTATTTAAATCACTTAAGTCAGTACACAGATTTTTTAAAAATCAAAACATTTTTGTGAAAACGATGACAATGAACAGCAAAAGGATAAACATGAAGATGTAAAAGAGGACATCAAAATCATAAAATGTGGGGCAGGAAAGTAAGAAAATGTAGATTCTTTTTTTTTCAGATGTGTTTGAGCCTATATGACTATCAGTCTAAAGCAAGTAGATATAGGAAGGGGTTAACATACTTGAAAAACAGAATAACCACAAATCAAAAACACAATAGATTCACAAAAACCAAAAAGAACACAAGCATAAAATAAAAGGAAATCATCAAACCACAAAAAGCACAACAAAAGGAAAAAGAAAGGAACAAAGAAACACAGAATCAACTGGTAAACAAGGTTTAAAATGGCAATAAATACGTATCTATCAATAATTACCTTAAATGTCAATGGACTAAATGCTCCAATCAAAAGACACAGAGTGGTGGACTGGATTAAAAAACAAAAGCCTACAATATGCTGCCTACAAGAGACCCACTTTAGGGCAGGAGACACACATAGATTGAAAGTGAGGGGATGGAAAAAGATATTTCATGCAAATAAAAATGACAAGTAGGGGTCACAATACTCATATCAGACAAAACAGACTTCAAAACAAAGGCCATAAAGAAAGATAAAGATATATTACTATATAATGATAAAAGGATCAATACAAGAAGAGAATTTTACACTCATTAACATATATGCACCTAATACAGAAGCACCCAAATATATAAAACAAATACTAACAGACATAAAGGGAGAAATTGACAGGAATACAATAATAGTAGGAGACTTTAACATCCCACTCATATCAATGGAAATATCTTCTAGACAGAAAATCAATACGGCAACACAGATCCTAAATGATAAAATTGAACAGTTAGACTTAACTGATATTTTCAGGACATGACAACTAAAAAAAAGCAGAATACACATTCTTTTCAAGTGCACATGGAACATTCTCTAGGGCTGACCATATACTAGGGCACAAAACAAGCCTCAACAAATTGAAGAGTATAGAAATTATCTCAAACATCTTTTCTGACAACAGTGGCATGAAACTAGAAATCAACCACAGAAAAAGAAATGAGAAAAAAACGACTACATGGAGACTAAACAACATGCTATTAAAAAAACAGTGGGTCAATGACAAAATCAAAGAGGAAATTAAAAAATACCTTGAGACAAATGACAAAGAAAACACAACCAAACAAAATCTATAGGATGCAGCAAAAACAGTTCTTAGAGAGAAGTTCATAGTGATACAGGCCTTCCTCAAGAAACAACAAAAACCCAAATAAATAACCTAATCTACCACCTAAAAGAATTACAAAAAGAACAAACAAAACATAAAGTCAGCAGAAAGAAGGAAATAATAAAGATCAGAGAGGGAATAAATAAAATAGAGATTACAAAACTACAGAAAAAAAAAATAAAACCAAGAGCTGGTTTGCTGAAATTGTAAACAAAATTGACAAACCTCTGAACAGGCTCACCAAGAAGAAAAGAGAGAGAACCCAAATAAACAAAATAAGAAATGAAAAAGGAGGGACTTTCCTGGTGGTGTAGTGGTTAAGAATCCACCTGCCAATGCAGGGGGCATGAGTTTGATCCCTGGTCTGGGAAGATCCCACTTGCCACGGAGCAACTAAGCCCGTGCGCCACAACTACTGAGCCTGCGCTCTACAGCCTGCAAGCCACAACTACTGAAGTCCGTGTGCCTAGAGCCCATGCTCCTCAACAAGAGAAGCCACCACAATGAGAAACCCATGCACCGCAACAAAGAGTGGCCCCCGCTCGCTGCAATTAGAGAAGGCCCGCACGCAGCAACGAAGACCCAACACAGCCAAAAATAAATAACAAAATAAAAATAAATAAATTTATTTTTAAAAAAAGAAATGAAAAAGGAGAAATCTCAACTGATACCACAGAAATACAAAAAAAAAAAAAAAACAAGAAAAAAAACAGAGAATACTGTGAAAATTATATGCCAACAAATTCAACAACCTAGATGAAATGGACAAGTTTTTAGAAACATAGAGCCCACTAAAACTGAATCAAGAAGAAACAGATAATTTGAACAGACTGACCTCTAGAAGTGAAATAGAACCTGTAATTTTAAAACCCTCTACAAACAAAAGTCCAGGACCAGATGGCTTCA